TATCAATGATATGTTGCAAACTCCGTAACTTTACAATGCAGCTGTTCCCATCTCTGGGCTGATGCTCTTCCACTTGACCGCCAGCGCAGAGCGGCTGAATCATCCGACGACCGAGTGCTGTCGGGGATTCACTGGACTGCGAAGAGATGTTGTCTCTTTGCATTTTCTTTGTGTACCTGGAGAGTGCTTGAGAATTGTGGATTATGCCGACAAATTTGTGAACGCTGGGGTCCCGATACCATCCACACCATGGTTGGCGGTCCACCACTGTAGTTTCAAGAGGAGTTTTCTGCGTACAACCTCTCTGTGGTTTTTCCTAAGGGTACTCCTCTTGTTGCCTCAAGGGCCAGCAACGCATCCTCGTGGCAAATCTGGTGTTGCGGTTGGTCATGGGCGGCGGTAGTCACTTAACATCAGGTGAGCCGCATGCTCGTTTGCCCCCTCTTGTATATAAAAAAAGCGTAGCACAGAAAGTTATTAATAGATTCATCACTACCATGATATGTTGCAAACCCGTAACATTCGCTGCCGTTCAGATGACAGCACTGGTGATGCTCTGTACAACTGCTGTGCCAATATTTCTCGGGAAAACATCTCCGAGTACCGGGACAAACTGGTGTCTGAAGTCGAGTCTTTGCTGAACAGAGTCTCGGATTGGGGCGACTAAATCCAGTCCAGTTTAACCCTCAGAAGACACAACAAAAAAGAACCCCTTTGTCGTATCTCCTCAGTTTCAAGGCACTCCCCCTTGTTGCCTCAGCCAGTAACGGAATCCTCGGCGTCAAAATATCGAGTGACGTGCAGTTTCGTGGTCACTTGGAAGAGAAGGCCAAATTGGCCTCTAAAAAGTTTGGCGTGCTCAACAGAGCGGGACAGTATTTCATGCCAGCAAACCGCCTGCAACTTTAAAAGGCGTAGGTTCGGCCGCACATGGAATAGAGCTCCCCAGTTCTAGCTCCCTCCACTTGACCACATCCAGCGCAGAGCAGCTTGAATTGTCGACGACCGAGTGCTTACCGATCGGATCGATTCACTGGCACTGCGAAGAGATGTTGAATCTCTTTGATTTTTCTTTCGCATATATCACGGGGAGTGCTCTGAGGAATCGTTCGGATTAATCATAGCCGCCAAATTTTACCGTCGGTGATTTTTCCGGACCGATACGATTTGGGAACCTGCAATAAAAGAGCTTACTCCTTTCTATAGGGCCGGCAACGCACATGTAATTCTCCTGGCTTTGCGGTTAATTATGGGCGGCGGTAGTCACTTAACATCAGGTGAGCCGCATGCTCGTTTTCCCCCTCTTCTATAAAAAAAAAACCACATAAAACACAATGATTTACGCTAGTAACATATAAGTCAATGATAAAAGATTACATATTATAAAAAAAATTGACAAAACAAAAATATGAATTAGGATGACAGGTGTCTTAATTTATTTTTCTTTTTCAGATATATGGCGCCACAGGTATATATATTTGGTCCTAAATTTCAAAGTAGTGAAGAGACTTGTCACACTAGTTGTGTTTACCGTCAAATAGCACTGTTTGCACCGCTGTGTTTCAATATGAAGCTATAGAGAACCAGTATAATTACAAGCTATGATGCATTCGATCTCAGCCTTGTCTGGTGATCATAGTTATTGAGGATACTAGACAAACTACCAAAATACAAATACGTTGTAAACCTGAGGAACACCTCGTTGTCAATAAAAAAGTGTCCGGTTTTCTACACTCACCGTATGAAATACACCGCCATAAAGCTGCTATTTCACTGTAGTATTCTGTAAGAGTATGGTCCGATCGAGCCGTTGCAACGAGTTGCAAGAGCAACGGCTCTACCACGTAAAAATATAAAATATAGATCTACATGTACAATAGCAATTTACACAATTTTTCTTTTAAATTTCGGGGACAGAAATGCTGTCGGGGACATAATATACAGGTTGTTACTTTACTTTTTTTACATACTATGTGGTTAAGCCTATTCTGCGTAGGTTTCTTTCTGACTAGGAAGATCATCTTGGCTAGCTAGATACGGAATAGTATCTAAAAACTAATGCAACGACTCTACTCTTACGGTTTATAGAGTATCTGGCCAATATAACTAAAAGCTCTGAGATTTTTTATCTTAGTTATTCATCCATTATTTCATTCATTAATTTATCGTTACAACCTATCAAATGTCCACTACTGAAGCCTAGCCTGTAGCTGCTGTGCCCTGAGGCCTCCCCCATAGAGTTTGTTATTATTATTATTACGGGGGTATCTATATAGTTTTCTCATCTGGTTGGGTTCTATAAATATATAATTATAAATGAAAATGAAAAGATAAATATACATAAATATCAATAACATAAAATAAATATAAAAGTACATAAATAAATAAAAGCCCAACCAGATGGAGGCCCTCGGCAGGGGAGACCAAACGGCCGAGGGTTAGGGGGAAAGGGAAAGAAACCGGCGGACGATGCGGGCGGTATCGAGGAGCACCGCCTTCTGCATTTGAACCTGGAGCGGTCCGCCACGTAGTCCCAGCCGCCTCAGATGACCCGAGAGGCTGACTGGGATTAGCCCGTTTGCAGAGACGACTACAGGAATAATTTCGGTCGGCAGACCACCCCACATGTCGGTCACCTCGTGAGCCAGGTCCAGATATTTTGTTTGCTTGTCTGTTTCGGCTTTCACGAGGTTCTTGTCATACGGAATGGTAACGTCGACCAAAAATATCCTTGACTGTGCCCGGTCCATCAGCACAATATCAGGCTTATTCGCAAGAATAGTCCTGTCTGTGATGATGGCCCGGTCCCAATAGAGCCTGGCGCGATCATTTTCGAGCACGGCTTCCGGCAAGTACTTGTAATACGGCAATTTCCGATCCACGAGACCGTATTTCAGAGCGAGCTCCTGGTGTAGAATTCTGGCTACTAGGTTGTGCCTGTGCAAGTACTCAGAGTTAGAAAGCGCCGAACAACCGGAGATAACATGCCTAAGTGACTCACCGGGATGGCAACAAGCTCGACAGATGTCGACGGTGCCATCCTTTAGGATGTATCTCCGATAGTTGTTGGTCTTAATAACCTGATCCTGTATTGCACAGACAAAACCCTCGGTTTCCCCGAAGAGATCACCAAAGCGTAGCCAGTGGAGGGAGGCGACTGTGTCTACGAAAGGCCCATGTAGAGCCTTGTAGAACCTCCCGTGGAGCTCCTTCTCCTTCCATACGGTCTCCCGGTCGGAAATGCTCTGCACTGCCGGGTCTTGCCATTGCTCGTTGGCTAAGGATAGAGGGGTAAGTCCTTTATCACAAGAAATGACGTCCTTATAGAATGGATCATCCGATCTCGCCAGGAAGTAATCATGGAGGCTGCACACTTCGCGATTATGCATGGTGAGCGCGCTCAAGAAGCCACGACCACCATACTTTCGCGGCAAGTACAGCCTCATTACCGACGATCTCGGATGATGCATGCTATGGGACGTCATGGTAGTGCGGACTTTTCTATCCAGGGCGTTAAGTTCAGTCTGAGCCCACCTGAGTATGCCAAAGGTATACATGAGGACAGGCATGACCCAGCCGTTATATGCGTGTGCCTTATTCACACCGGACAAAAGGCTATTTAGCACTTTGGTCAAGCGTGCATAAAACACGTCGCAAACTGACTGTTTCATACCAGCCTCATCGATACCGATGTTCTGTGACATACCCAGTTATCGGTATGTTTCAGCCTCGGAAATGGTCCTTAAGTTGACGGGCATAGATAAGTCTATGCCCTCAGAGTTAGCAACCCTTCCCCTTTCAACGTGGAGGGCCGCACACTTATCCGTCCCCAGCTCCATTCTAATAGAATTGCTAAATTTACACGTGATGTTTAGCAATTCCATAAGATGGGAGCGACTGGAGGCGAATAATTTGAGGTCATCCATATAGAAAAGGTGGGTCACTTTTGTACCTCCTTTCCGAAGCTGAAATCCCCTCCCGGAGCCCTCCAGTAAAGTACTGAGAGGGTTCAAAGAGAGGCAGAACCAGATTGGACTCAGACAGTCGCCCTGGAATATACCCCTTCTTATCCCTATGCGGCTTTCCGCAGCCGTCATCCGCTCGCCTAGATGACAGAGGATCGTACTCCACTGCCCCATACACTGCTCGAGGAAGTCTCGAACTGTACAGTCAATCTTGTACAGCTCGAGGACCCTCTTTAGCCATGTATGGGGCACCGAGTCAAATGCCTTTCTGTAATCTATCCAGGCGGCGGAGAAGTTCCGACGGTTGCGTTTCACCACTTTGCCAATGACCGCGTCAATGAGGAGTGGTTCCTTGGTTCCACGACCGCCGCCCCGACATCCATTTTGAGCGCGCGACATCACCTGATTTAAGTCCAGGTGACGAGCGATTCTTGCGCTCAAAATGGATGTTAGTGTCTTGTATATGGTCGGTAGACACGTGATGGGACGGTATTTGCTCGGGTCTGTGGCACCCTGATCTTTAGGAACCAAATGAGTGATCCCAGTAGTGAAGAGGCTTGGGAGCGACTTCTGGTTGAGAGCCTCTTGAAACTGTCGGGCGAGCACAGCGTGACACACCATGAACCCCTTCAGCCAGTAGTGATGCAGCCCGTCAAGCCCCGGACTTTTCCAGTTCGGGGCCCTACGGACCGCCTCAGCTACGTCATCCGGCGTTATGATGACGGGGTCCATGGGCGTAATACCCGCACACTGACTCGCCACAACTTCCGTCCAAGGGACCTCGCTGTGGTTTACGGGCTCTGACCACAGGCCGCGCCAGAATGCTACAGTGTCGGCCTGATTCGGTGCTGGACCCGTTCCACTTACCATTGGTCGCTCCAATGATTCATAGAGCCTCTTCTGATCACTCTGGAAGAGACGATTCTGGTTGAACCGTGTCGACCTCTCGGTATATCGCCGAATCCGCTTTCCCCAAGCAGCAATTCTCTGCTTCAGATCATCTATGCGCTCCGTCAGTTTTTGCATTATATCCGGCTAGGACAAACTAACATTTGTCCCAGCAAACGCCATCCTGACGGTGCGCACAATCCTTGGCCTGGTATTGCCTGACCTGAAGCATATCAGTCTGCCGATGAGGGCCCTAGCCTTTGCGATACGTTCTTCAATTCTTATTCTCCAGGCTGGGATAGCACTACTTTTTCCAGTAGCGCGTCCAGCCGTGGAAAGTTTGGCACCTATAATACGGCAGACTGCCAGTGCGGCGCCAAAAAGAATTGAGTCCGTCTCGCAAAGGTCCCGGCTGGCTTCCAAATAGGTAACCAGCATTGGGTTCAGAGCCCTCACGACAGCCCGATTCCGCTTGCTTAGGGCTAAGCGGGGAAGTCGCGGTCGATTTTCGAGAGTCGTACTGCGCGTTTCCACAATCGCCTCTTCCAATGTACTCCTCGTTTGCTCTAGTTCCAGTTCCTGGGTGACTGTTCCATCATCGTTTGAATCAACCACAACTGGCGTATTTACGGCGGCATCCACATTTGCCGTTTGCTCAGCAAGTTGTGGCGCCGCATCCTCAGCCGCAGCATTTTCACCCGATGAAGGAACAGCCTCACGTCGTAGCCGTTCGAGTTCGGTGACATCAAATGTATTTGAGCGCAAGATATACCGAACTCGGTCTGCCAGGTTTTGCTCGGTGACGGTTACAGATGGCTCCAGCTCAGCAAAAAGTCGATGCATCCTTGCCCGATACGCAAAACCTCCAGTTTCTCCCCCTTTCGCCCTAAAATACGCCCGCAATGCGTTGCTGTTCATCTGGGTTGTCCAACGCATGCGGCGTACTCCACCAGTGGCGGGTGCCGATTGCTGAGCCCGCGAAGACCCTGCCGACACCAAGCCAGTTGGTGGGGATGATGGATGCGAGGAGCTGCTGGGTGGTCGTGCAGCACCTCGCGCTCGGCTGGCGGTTCGCATGCTGTCGCGTCCAGCGCCAGCTCCTGACGCGCCCTGGCGACCTCCAGGCAGCGGCCCTTTGCGCGTTCCATTTGATTCCATCATCCATTTTAGGGCGACATTTAGCGGGAGACGCCCAGACCCGGCGCCGTTTCAGGGTTAGGCCATGTGCACAAGCGGGCCTTGGCACCTTCAATTTTTGCCGAGGCACGGCACTAACACCTCTTGGCAAGGTGCTGACTGACTGCGCTGACGTAGCGGTTTTGTCACATAACCGTTATATCAGCGGGCGATGGGGTTATCACTTCCCTACGCCTATTTATTATTATTATTATTTGGAGTATCTATATAGTTTTCTCATCTGGTTGGGTTCCATAAATATATAATTATAAATGAAAATGAAAAGATAAATGTACATAAATATCAATAACATAAAATAAATATAAAAGTACATATATAAATAAAAGCCCAACGAGATGGAGGCCCTCGGCAGGGGAGACCAAACGGCCGAGGGTTAGGGGGAAAGGGAAAGAAACCGGCGGACGATGCGGGCGGTATCGAGGAGCACCGCCTTCTGCATTTGAACCTGGAGCGGTCCGCCACGTAGTCCCAGCCGCCTCAGATGACCCGAGAGGCTGACTGGGATTAGCCCGTTTGCAGAGACGACTACAGGAATAATTTCGGTCGGCAGACCACCCCACATGTCGGTCACCTCGTGAGCCAGGTCCAGATATTTTGTTTGCTTGTCTGTTTCGGCTTTCACGAGGTTCTCGTCATACGGAATGGTAATGTCGACCAAAAATATCCTTGACTGTGCCCGGTCCATCAGCACAATATCAGGCTTATTCGCAAGAATAGTCCTGTCTGTGATGATGGCCCGGTCCCAATAGAGCCTGGCGCGATCATTTTCGAGCGCGGCTTCCGGCAAGTACTTGTAATACGGCAATTTCCGATCCACGAGACCGTATTTCAGAGCGAGCTCCTGGTGTAGAATTCTGGCTACTAGGTTGTGCCTGTGCAAGTACTCAGAGTTAGATAGCGCCGAACAACCGGAGATAACATGCCTAGGTGACTCACCAGGATGGCGACAAGCTCGACAGATGTCGACGGTGCCATCCTTTAGGATGTATCTACGATAGTTGTTGGTCTTAATAACCTGATCCTGTATTGCACAGACAAAACCCTCGGTTTCACCGAAGAGATCACCAAAGCGTAGCCAGTGGAGGGAGGCGACTGTGTCTACGAAAGGCCCATGTAGAGCCTTGTAGAACCTCCCGTGGAGCTCCTTCTCCTTCCATACGGTCTGCCGGTCGGAAATGCTCTGCACTGCCGGGTCTTGCCATTGCTCGTTGGCTAAGGAAAGAGGGGGTAAGTCCTTTATCACAAGAAATGACGTCCTTATAGAATGGATCATCCGATCTCGCCAGGAAGTAATCACGGAGGCTGCACACTTCGCGATTATGCATGGTGAGCGCGCTCAAGAAGCCACGACCACCATGCTTCCGCGGCAAGTACAGCCTCATTACCAACGATCTCGGATGATGCATCCTATGGGACGTCATGGTAGTGCGAACTTTTCTATCCAGGGCGTTAAGTTCAGTCTGAGTCCACCTGAGTATGCCAAAGGTATACATGAGGACAGGCATGACCCAGCCGTTATATGCGTATGCCTTATTCACCCCGGACAAAAGGCTGTTAAGCACTTTGGTCAAGCGTGCATAAAACACGTCGCAAACTGACTGTTTCATACCAGTCTCATCGATACCGATGTTTTGTGACATACCCAGGTATCGGTATGTTTCAGCCTCGGAAAGGGTCCTTAAGTTGACGGGCATAAATAAGTCTACGCCCTCAGAGTTAGCAACCTTTCCCCTTTCAACATGGAGGACCGCACACTTATCCGTCCCAAGCTCCATTCCAATGGAATTGCTAAATTCACAAGTGATGTTTAGCAATTCCATAAGATGGGAGCGACTGGAGGCGAATAACTTGAGGTCATCCATATAGAAAAGGTGGGTCACTTTTGTCACTCCTTTCCGTAGCTGAAATCCCCTCCCGGAGCCCTCCAGTAAGGTACTGAGAGGGTTCAGAGAGAGGCAGAACCAGATTGGACTCAGACAATCGCCCTGGAAGATACCCCTTCTTATCCTTATGTGGTTCTCCGCAGCCATCATCCGCTCGCCCAGATGACAAAGGATCGTACTCCACTGCCCCATACACTGCTCGTGGAAGTCTCTAACTGTACAGTCTATCTTGTACAGCTCGAGGACTCTCTTTAGCCATGTATGGGGCACCGAGTCGAATGCCTTTCTGTAGTCTATCCAGGCGGCGGAGAAGTTCCGACGGTTGCGTTTCACCACTTTGCCAATGACCGTATCAATGAGGAGTGGTTCCTTTGTTCCACGACCACCGCCCCGACATCCATTTTGAGCGCGCGACATCACCTGATTTGAGTTCAGGTGACAAGTGATTCTCGCGCACAAAATGGATGTTAGTGTCTTGTATATGGTCGGTAGACACGTGATGGGGCGGTATTTGCTCGGGTCTGTGGCACCCTGATCTTTAGGAACCAAATGAGTGATCCCAGTAGTGAAGAGGCTTGGGAGCGACTTTCTTGAAGACCTCTTGAAACTGTCGGGCGAGCATAGAGTGACACACCGTGAACCCCTTCAGCCAGTAGTGATGCAGCCCGTCAAGCCCCGGACTTTTCCAGTTCGGGGCCCTACGGACCGCCTCAGCTACGTCATCCGGCGTTATGATGACGGGGTCCATGGGCGTAATACTCGCACACTGACTCGCCACAACTTCCGTCCAAGGGCCCTCGCTGTGGTTTACGGGCTCTGACCACAGGCCGCGCCAGAATGCTACAGTGTCGGCCTGATTCGGTGTTGCTTGACCCGTTCCACTTACCATTGGTCGCTCTAATGATTCATAGAGCCTCTTCTGATCACTCTGGAAGAGACGATTCTGGTTGAACTGTGTCGACCTCTCGGTATATCGACGAATCCGCTTTCCCCAAGCAGCGATTCTCTGCTTCAGATCATCTATGCGCTCCGTCAGTTTTTGCGTTATATCCTGCTGGGACAAACTTACATTTGTCCCAGCAAACGCCATCCTGACGGTGCGCACAATTATTGGCCTGTTGTTGCCTGATCTGAAGCATATCAGTCTGCCGATGAGAGCTCTAGCCTTTGCGATACGTTCCTCAATTCTTCTTCTCCATGCTGGGATAGCGCTACTGTGGCCAGTAGCGCATCCAGCCGTGGAAACCTTGGCGCCTATGATACGGCAGGTTGCCAGCGCGGCGTCAAAAAGAATTGAGAGAATTGATTATTATTATTATTATTTAGTTATATTTTCTACGTTTTCTCAGTTTGTTTTTAACAAAACTGTATTAATGGTTATTACCACGGGACAAAGCCAAGTGGATACCATGAACTTGTTTGGTTATGGGTAGTTTTCTGTAGAGATAAATTTTCTAACTATTCTACAAGTAATAAGTAAAACTGCTTTTTGTAATTGAATATATGTTAGTTTTGGTAAATCTAAAGTTTTTAATGATTGATGAAGCGCTTTTGGTATTACACCAGTTGTAGAGAGGACTATAGGGACTATAATGGCGTTATGCAAATTCCACATTCTAATAATTTCATGTTTTAATTCAGTGTACTTGGAAATTTTTTCATTAATTGTTGTCTGTAAGTTATGTGAATTAGGTATATCCGGTCTATTAAAGTGTATTGTTTTGTCAGTAAGTATAGCTCTGTCAAAATACATTTTGTGAGTGGTATTTTCAAGGAATATTTCTGGTTTATATTTATAGTATTATTATTATTATTATGGGGTATCTATATAGTTTTCTCATCTGGTTGGGTTCTATAAATATATAATTATAAATGAAAATGAAAAATTATTATTATTATTATTGACAATTTTTCATTATTAAGAATATTGATGTGTTATCAGTAGATGCTGCCGTCCATATACCTACTAATTTAATATCTCCCTGTCATCCCTCGCGATATCCACGAGATGGAGTAATGGATTTCATAGATTCCAATGAATTCAATTTTATTTTTTTCATTATCACGCAATTAACCAGTTCAGCTGCCCCTAATGACACCACGGCTTTATGCGATGAGCACCCGGGGATGAAAGATCACTGGAGTTTCTACTAACAGAGTCTACCTCTAAAGACCAAAGTAATTCAGTCGTGTCTCATAACATCGTCTCTAAATATTCCACAAAGCTCTAAAACCCAGGGAAAATTTGTAGATTTTTGTGATTTGGATTTACACTTGTACTTATTTCATAATATTTATTATGAATGATTGCTTTGATAATATATAATATAATATCTATTTTAATTACTATTTAAAAATAACAAGTACAAGTGAATATTGAAATCACTAAGAGGAAGATGAAATTTCATCAACTGACAACAATCGCAAGTATAATATTATATTTGTGAAGATAAGAGCCCTTTGGATAATGTAATTTCGAAAATCGTGACAGGATAACCAACAAGCATATTTCGTACATAAAATTCGTCTAATCCAAACTCGTCGACGCCGCTTCCACAACTAATGAGACACACATTTATACATATTATAATATAACATTAATTCTTCTTAAGCGATTATTTATACCACATCAATTAACAATGTACAATTATTTGCAAAATATAACATATTTTTATTCATTGGAAATATGCATGTATTGGCATCCAATCTAAGACAGGTTGATCAAATATGGGTCACTACCGATATACAATATTATACATCAACGTTTCTAAAATACTCGATGTAAAGTATCGATATATCGAATGAATTCGATGTTTTGTTGATTCGTCAATATCTAGTAGAAATCGATGTTTTTTATTCGATGCATCGAATAGGCAAACCTTATGCGAAAGCAATGGTACACTTACCATTGCTTTCCAATAAGCGGCACTTCATAGTCATCGAACCGAAAATACAAAGTTTGAACAAACTTAATCCTGTAAAGATCAAATTCGTTAATTCACACATTAAAATAGATTTTCAAACAATACATTTAGTTTTCCATAAATATAGATTACCCCTGGCTTCAAAAGCTATTAC